TCCTAATTGGCTGGACTTTGTAGAGTTCTTATTATCTAAAAAAGCCACTAAGAATCAAATGCACACCATTGATTTTTCCTCCAATGAATCATTCTTGAAAAAGTGAATTTGGTATGGCTATTCCAGGTCTCCAAATAAGTTTTTATCAACCTTTTTTTTTAACTTGTGCCTTCTTTCTGATAAACACTAATGTCTTATGACTGCTTACTGAATTTTCTACTACAACTTCTGGGAGGGGTTTGCCCCCAACTGTTTAGAGAGATAGCACCTTCTATATCTCCCCAGCAACCAGGAGAATACTGTCAAGCTCTGCTGTTTTGTAGTCTGTGTTACATACCACCCCCCCAAAAGGTGATGGCTTTTAATATTTGTTTTCCAAATATAAATATATTATAGGCAGGCTACAGTCCATGGGATGGCAAAGAGACACAACAGCACACATGCATGAATCTAGAATTATTTCAAATTAAAGGTTTTGTTGTTTTTTTTTTTAAAGTATGATAGTACCGTCCAGATTTTCTAGACCTTCCAACCACACAGACTCTTAAGACAGGCTTGAGAATTCAATTCTTACATCATTCCAGTCAAGGGAAAAGCACACCTTATACCCCACAGTATTGTCCTTGTCTTTCAGAGGTGAAAAGTGAAAGTCGCTCAGTCATGTCAGACCCTTTGCAACCCCATGGACTATACAGTCCATGGGATTCTCCAGGCCAGAATACTGGGGTGGGTAGCCTTTCCTTTCTCCAGGGGATCTTCCCAACCCAGGTAACCATCTTTAAATCAAAAAACAAAAGCATAGTTCTCTAATTAAAAATGTATAATTATTCTATGGCTGTTTTTCAGATTGCAGGTCCAGACCCATTATGAAATTATCAAATCATTTTAAAGAGTCACTATTAAGATTGCCCTTTGAACTAGAATAGAGAGGACAGAAAATACCTGGGAGCTTGACATGTAGTAAAATTAGGATTCTTTTCACAAAACTAAGGGTTCAGTTATAGGTCTATGAACATGTGTTTATAACTTTGTGTGTACAGGGTTACATCATAAACTATATATCTTACTGTGGGCCACAGTCAGAAAAAAAGCATACCATGGAAGGTTTCTGAGGAAAACACTGTGGCCTTGGAAATAGTAATTGCTGATGAGTAAGGTTCTGAGTGAAGGGCTCGGTGTTAGTTTTGCATTCTCCTTGCCTGTTCCTCTCATTGTAAGTTGGGGACCTGCTTTTCCACCTAACTGTAGAGCACAGTAGCGTGCATAAGGCCTGTGAGCAGTGTCTTCAGACGACAGACCGAGCCACTCAGGAACCCCCTGGGGGCTTCCCTGCTGGTCCAGTGGTTAAGACTCCTCACTTCCAATGCAAGGGGCATGGGTTCGATCCCTGGTTGGGGAACTAAGATCCCATATGCCATGCTACACAGCCAAAAAAAAAAAAAAGACAAATTCCCTGGGCCCACAGCCTCAGCAAAGCTCTAACATACACATTCTCTCCTCTACCAATAGCCCCACCCAGGCTGTGTACCCTCATATGCTCATGAGCTCACATGGATTTTTAAAAGAATGTAGAAAAGAACATGAGCATTCTAAATGCTTAAGACTGCATATTCCGAACATACACATTAACAGATAAAGAGCTGAAGCCCATAGCAGTAGAATAACATGTCATAGGTCACAGCAGGTTCAGAGCTAAAACAAGGCACCAAGTTGCCTCTGTGACTTTTTAAATTATATAATTAATGTGCAAGGTAGGAAAATTAGAAAAATCAGATTAACAAAAATGTGAAAAACATATGCATCCTTCCTTAACAAAGATTAGATAACATGAGCATTTTTGTAACTTGCATTTTTCATTAATGTTCATATATTTTAACATCTTTCCACATTAATAAATTTACTTTTGACTCAGTGATTTTCATATTGTTCAGTCTTCCATTGTACCATAATTTAACCATTCTTCTGTGATCTAATATTTGTTTGCAACTGAGGGAAAAAATGAGTTTTTAATCACCTTAAACAGTTTCCTGAATTTGATCAATAAATCTTGCCTCTATAAATCTCTGTTGCTACTATCCTGTAGCAAATATTCTTTAATCATATTTTAATTTTAAAAACAAATTTTACAAAAGGGGAAATGGAATATTTCCTTTCTTATAAGTAAACTTATAAGTTTTAAAAAATGAGCTGTGTTCCTTTAATAACAAGTGATAGCAGGGCAAGCAGCTAGGCAGAGTAGGAATTTGCACCATTGTGGCACATAAAATAGTTGTTTCTAGAAAGAAGACGTTGCTGTCATCAGATTTTATGTGTATTAAGACATCTCTGAAAAAAAAAAAAGACATCCACAATTAATTAACTGGGAAATGTTATTAAATGCCTTTTCCCTTTCAGACACTTTGCTAGTCAGTAGAGGTAGATACTACACAGGGTAAAAACAGTCTAATAGAGGAAACTGACATTGATTAAATAATCATCCTATTGAATACGTAATGACAAAGATAAGTGTTCTCAAGCAGAAGAGCACAGTGCTGTCAGCACTTCTGTGTGGATTGGGGAGTCGACAATGACTTCCATGAGGAAATAGTAGGTGAACTGAGCTCTGATAGATAAAGATGCACTAGCCAGGAGGAAGGAATCTTCAAAGGTCCAAAATGGAGAGAGCATGGCAAAAAAAGACTAAAAGAAGACCAGTGTGGTTAGAACGGAATAAAAAAGGAAAACCAGACCAAGAAGGGCCTTACAGGCCATAGTAAAGAAACTGATTTTGGGGTCTTTCGTGATGGTCCAGTGGCTAAGACTCCAGTTCGGTCCCCAGTCAAGGAACTAGATCTCACATGCCGCAACTAAGAGTTCCCATGCCACAACTAAAGATCCCATGTGCTGCAACTAAAGATAGAAGATCCTGAGGGCTATAACTAAGATTTGGTGCCGCCAAATAAATATTTTGGAAAAGAAAGAAACCGATTTAGGGCACTTTATCCTGAAAGCTTTGGAAGGCCATTGAAGTTTTAAACTGCGGATAGCGTAACACCTGAATGTCCCAGAGATATTTTTAATTCCACATGTATAAAATCCAACTTCATCATCCCTCTTTCTTATTTCCCAATTTCCATAAATGGCACTGCCCTTCTTCTTAGTTTTAAACTTAAATTTAAAACTGCCATCTGAATAAGTCAGGTGGGAAAATCCTGAATAAAATACTGTATGACTTCACTTGTGTGTGGAATTTAAAAACAATGAACTCATAGAAACAGAGAAAAGAATGATGGTTTCCAGAGGCTGAGGGGTGAGGGAAATGGGGGGATATTGGTCAAATGGTACAACATTCACTTATAAGATGAAAAGATCTGGGAATCTAAGGTACAGTGTGTGACCATAGTTAACAGTTCTATATTGTGTACTTGAAAGATGCTGAGTATAGAATTTAACATTCTCATCATAAGAACAACAAAATGGTAATTGTGTGAGATAAAGAATGTGCTAACCTTATTGTGGTACACACTTCACAATATGTTTATCAAGCCATCACACATGTACAGTTTAAACTTAAGCAGCATTATATGTCAATAGCATCTCAATAAAGCTGGGAAATAAATATAACTTGCCCTCTCACCCTTTCCCTTGATCCAATCAAGTTATCAATTATTGCTAAATTTCTCTGTTTCCATAGTATCAAATCAACTCAGTGTCATTCCTGCTGCTACCATTTTAGTTTAAACTCTCTGCCTCTTGCCTAGATTATTATAGTAGCCTTCTAATCAGCCTGAATCTCTCCTCCTTCCCTCTGTCACCTTTTTCCCCAAACTGAGGATAACTTCCTACCCATCTTTCAAGGTCCACTCTGACTCCCAGTTGTATGGTCTCACCTTCCTTTAGGCATTTCCAGCACTCTCTTATTTTTCTTTGAGTTCTGGTGTTAAGTAGCGTGAGTGGTAAGACTCTGTTCTCCCACCTTCTATTTCCAATGATAAGCTGTCAGTGTCTTGCACAAATTACTATTCAATAGGCCTTGATTATGATGGATTGAGAGCAAGTGGACTCTCTGTTCCACTTAGAACAGACATTCCTCAACTGAATTCCGCTAAGACCCTTCAGGCTAGGAAATAGCAGACCAGCTCTGCTGTGTGCCATGTTGTGCCTTCACTTTCCAATGCCCAGTACTACAGAGGAAGAGCAAGAATAATGTACCTTTTTAAGCTGTAAAGAATATAGACCTTTGTTCAACAGTTCAGAGAATCAAAGCAGAAAAGGTGGGCATGACATTAGTGAAGGCTTACAAGTGTGAGAAGTACTGTAAAGCTTGTAATGGGCAGGTTGTCTGTGATCGACAGACAGACTCATAAGCAGGCATAGCTACTAATTAGAGAGGGCAAAGGAAGTGTTTGAGACCTTGACCACATGTATGAGGTGGGAGAGTTTCCTGAATGAGGCATTCAGCCCTCCAAAAATAGGAGTTCATGTATTCTGACTCAAAAAGTAGGCATTTGATATGGACTCTTGTGTATAGCACTTGTCAGAAGAGTCCCAAGTCTGAAAGGTATAGCTGCAGTCTTACTTTCAGCCTTAGATCATCTCTGGCAGACTTGGGTTCTTTGGTCTCCAACTATCTCAAAGTAGCAGAGGCCTGGGGCCCCTATACCTAATTGGCTTCAGGACAGGAAGGGAGACAGAGATACCATCTCACATTTGTAGAGTGCTTTCTAGTCTACACAAGCCCCTTTGCTAGTGTTAATTCTCATAATATCTCTGTGACGTGTGCTGAGTAGATCACCCTCATTTTACGAACAGGAAAACCAAAGTCACAGGGCCAGTCAGAAATAGAACCAAGGTCTTCTGACTCCTTAACAAGTGCTCTGTCCACCCCACCATGCTACTGAGTTCCAGAAAAGGGAGAAGCTGTTTAATAGCATTGGCCCCTTAGGTGGATGGTTGAAACACACTGGCCTAACACGACAAGCCATCGGCTGAGGCTGGGCCGCTCTGCTCTCTGTCCACAGAGCCATGGGGGTGTTGATGTCCAAGCGGCAGACAGTGGAACAGGTGCAGAAGGTGAGCCTGGCTGTGTCTGCCTTCAAGGATGGGCTGCGGGACAGGCCTTCCATCCGACGCACAGGTGAGCTTCCGGGGTCTCGCCGTGGCACGGTAGAGGGCTCTGCCCAGGAGGTGCAGGAGGAGAAAGCGGCAGAGGCAAGTGCCCCGGCGCCCCAAGAAGAGAGCGGTGTCAGCCGCGCCTCCTGGGAGCGGCTCCGGGATGGGCGCGGAGTGGAGCCGGAGGAGTTTGACAGGACCAGTCGTCTGACACCCCCTGCCTTCATCCGCCCCACCCGGAAGCTGGATGACGACAAGCCTCCAGATATCCGCTTGGAGCCCAGAGAGCCTGTGAGTGTCCACAAAGGGCAGAATCCTCCAGTTTTAGACCTGAGGATCAGGGAGCAGGACAGGGAGGCCTGGGTATGGTTAAAGTAAGACTCAAAACCAGAAATGTGGAGCTGAGTCAGAGTGATCTTTGCATTTCTTCCCCAAGAATAAAAATAATATATCCTGGATAGACTTAGTGATAAAACTTGAGGAAGTAGGTGATAAGGAATGATACCATGGGGGAGGTGGTCTTTTGCCAGCCCTCGCACCTAAGAGAGAATATTGCTTTCTGTAGGAGACATTTGGAAATTTGGGTGGGGTAGGGAGAGGGTCACAAAACTAGAAATTGCTCTTGTATTTGGTGCCAAGAAACACAGGGATGCTGAGGGTCCTGCAATGCCTGGGACAGTCTTTCACAAGAGATTATTCTTTCCAAAAATGCTGATAGCATTCCTGCTCAGAAACATGGTCACAGAGGCCTGAGCACCTGGAAAAACCTGCTGGTTCTTACCTTCCAGGGAGAACGCTCTATTGCCTTAACAGTGGCTTCAGTTGGAGTTGCTCCTCTAGGCTACTCCAGGGACACTCAGCCCCATTCAGGTAGCACTGTGCTTCGTGGCCTAGGATCCTGCTGCTCTTCACTGCTGCCATCTTTCCCCAGGTTGTTAATGATGAGATGTGTGATGTCTGTGAAGTCTGGACGGCCGAGAGTCTCTTCCCGTGCAGGGTCTGCACCAGGGTTTTCCATGATGGCTGCCTACGCCGCATGGGCTACATCCAGGGAGACAGTGCCGCGGAGGTGACCGAAACGGCCCACACGGAAACAGGCTGGAGCTGCCACTACTGTGTGAGCCTTGGCTGCGGGGACGCTGGGCTCCTGCACCGTTAAGGACTGGGCACTTTCCCTGGAGGAGAGTGTTCCAATAGTACATACAAGGGCTAGGACAGGCTTTCCTAGCTCAGTACTGTTGACACTTGAGGCACAATAATTCTTTGTTGTGGGGGCTGTGCGCATTGTAGGATGTTTAGCAGCATCCCTAGCCACTACCCAGTAGATACCCGTAACACCCACCCGCAGTGGCAACAACCAAAAATGTCTCCAGATATTACCAAATGTGTCCTGGGGGAACATGACATTCTGGTTGAGAGCCACTGAGCTGGAGGACAGAATGAGGATGAGACCCAGTTATTCAAAACTGATTCTGCTTGGAGCAGTGGTGATTTAGTTGCTAAGTCGTGTCCAACTTTTCCAGATGCATAGACTGTAGCCTGCTAGGCTCCTTTGTCCATGAGATTCTCCAGGCAAGCATACTGGAGTAGATTGCCATTTCCTTCTCCAGGAGATCTTCCCGACCCAGGAATCAAACCCCCAGGTCTCCTGCATTGCAGGCAGATTCTTTACTGACCAAGCCATGAGGGAAGTCTTGCTTGGAACAGTACTTAATCTAATAGTTGATGGTTGTCATTCGTTGTATTCATCTGGAAAACCAACCTGAAATCCTAATTGGCTTGCTTCCTGTAAAGATAGATTCTATCTCAGGAAAAGTTCTTAGTCCTGAGATCCCCATTTGGCTTTCTACATAACTCTTTGGAGCCTTTTTCTTCATCTCTGAAGTAATCATTTTGTGAATTAAGTGACAAAGACCTGTTGATTCAGAACTTTGCAAATTATACATAAATGTCCGCTAACTTTTGAGAAGATAAAAAGACAGATTCATGTCTGTTTCTCAGTAAACCTAAGTAGAGTTCAAGTCTTGCTTTATTGATCTGTTGCCCTGCAGATCTTCCATTACTCACTGATTTCAGAGTAAGGATTATAAGCTGATCCCCTCTTCTTCCTACCCCTGAGGATAAAGTAAAGATGTTCTGCTTCCTAACAAATAATACCTTCTGCATGGCTTGTCCATAAAGTGGAGTATAGAACAGTTACTTCCAGACATGTAAATAGCTCCTCCCCAGCTGGAGTATGACACGGCAGGGCCTCCTCTACAGGCAGTCTCTTCCAGTCACCACGCCTCCAAATGCGAACTTGCTCACTCACAGCAACTCTGTTTGGCAGTGTATCTCCTGTGATTCCCCAGCCGCCTGTAATTTGGCTTGTGTATCCATCATTCTGCTGAACTGGCTCTTCTAAGGTCACCAGTGACCTAACTGTCAAGTTCAGTGACCTTTTCTCAGGAATCTTTTACTTGACCTCTCTGATGTATTTAGCACTTCTTATCGCTCCATCTTTTTTTAGGGTATGAATATTTTTGTGAGAGTCTTTACACAAAATGTGGAAATCAGAGAAAATAGAAAATCAGTAAAATGCCATCTGACTTGCATAACCACTGTTAACATTACCTCTACATTGTAGAGCTCTCTTTTCTTGGCTTCTTGTACCCTCTACTGATTCTCTTCCCAACTTCCTTCTCTGACCATTCTCCCTAAGTGCCCTTCGTTTCTTGTCCCAGACCTAAAGGCTGGTGTCTCTCAGGGTTCTTTTCGCACTATATTCTCTCTCTCTGGATCTTCATCTACTTCAGTGGCTACTCCACCACCTAAATACTAGTAATTCCCGATTCTGTGGGTCCAGACCTAAATTTCCTGTCTCTTAGACTTATATCCATCTTAATGTCTCACAAGTACTTCACATTCAACATGCCCCAAAATGAATTCATCTTTTTCCCCACACCCATTATTCCTTCCATTCCTTGCCTCTGTAAATAGTAACACCACCACCACCCCCTAATTACCAGCCCCTACTCATTTCTCTCCCTCACCCCTCACATGCAGGGGGTCAGCAAGTCCTATGAACTCCACCTCCCAATCTCTCTCAGAGCTTTCCCCTTCTCTTCATTCTCAGGTCTTAGTTTAGCCACTCATCTTTTCTTTATTGCATCAACCACCTAACTGCCCTCCATGCCACCAGGCTTTGCCCATGTAACCCATTCTCTACACAGCAGACAAAGAACTGACCATAGCACTCTACACTTAAAAAACTTTCTGTGACTCCCCTTTGCTCTCAGGAAAAAAGGCCCAGTTTGAAGGACTCAATAAAGGGTATTTGGGGCATGTCACATTCAGTCTTCTGCTGACCTCACCTCCCTTATCATTTATCACTCCTCCCTACTCTCTCCCAAGACACACACACACACACACACACACACACACACACACAGTCACACTCTCTACACTCCAGCTGTACTGAACATCTCACAATGTTATACACCATTGTGCCAAGTATATACTAGGTACTCAAAAAGTATTTATTGAAAGAATGGTTTGGGTTTTTCATGAAATCCACAAATGAATAGTCATGAAATGTCTGCTCCTATTCTTTACTGGTATTTTAGAGAGGAAATGATCTACTGTAAAGAATCTTTGGTAGTTTAAAGACTGTAAGACTATAAATTAATGCTAACAAAATAACATATCAGTGCTCTTTTGGAATTAAAACTTCCATGGCACCATTAAAAAAAAAATCATTTGGTTTTAGGAAATTTTTAATGATGGCATCTCTTTCAAAACCATTCTGGAGTGAAAGTGATACAACTTTAGGATTAAACACTTTTACCAAATATGGAAACTGGAGTTAGAATTAAACTTTTTAAACTAAAATACTCTTTGAACACAGTCTAACACAGAGGCCAGATACATAAAATAGATAAAGATGGAGCTACTCTGGTAGATGGAGCTGAGGATTCACAACTCTACCCAGTTTCCCCCTTTTCACTTGCAGCAACTTCCTGAGGCACCACCAAGGAGCCCCTAAGCTATCTCAGAGAATAATCCAAAAGCCACTACTTTAGTAAAAGGGACTTGGGTGGAGCCAGGATAACGGGATTCTGGGGATGATTCCGGCCAGAGCTGGACAGCTCTGAGCAAGTCCTTTCCTCTTTCTGGGGCCTCAGTCTCCTTGACTGTGAATGAGATGCTGGGATCAGATGATCCCATAATTGCCGTCCATCTGAAATACTATTTCACCCTTCTTGATCCTTGGCCTTTATTTCTGGCCTATATGGCCATTGATTTAGCTCTTCTTCTTTTTCAGGACAATCTCAACTTGCTGCTAACTGAGGAGGAAATGTACAGCCTCACAGAGACCTTTCAGCAGTGTAAAGTTATCCCTGGTAAGGCTGGGTGGTACTGCCAATGGAGAGGGCCAGGAAGGCTTCTCCTTCATACTTTCTAGGATGAACCATGAAAGGAGTAATCTGGAATTTGGAGGGCAAGGGTGTAAATGGAACCCTGTTTGCAAGCTGTTGGCCTGCCCCTGGTCACAGCCTGTGTTATCCTGGCTATGGAAACAGACTGGACAAAAGCTGTGGGTGCGGGGGCTCTGGAGGGCACACTCGAGGTGAGTGGAGGTACTGCAGATGCTGAGAGAAGGGCGGGCATGCCTAGCGTGTGGTGCCTCCCCACAGACTGCTCCCTGACACTGGAGGACTTCCTACGCTACCGCCACCAGACAGCAAAGAGAGGGAGCAGCGACAGGGCTCTAAGTGAGGCGCAAGAGGAGCAGGCAGCCCGCCAGTTTGCAGCCCTGGACCCTGAACGCCGAGGACACGTTGAGTGGCCTGATTTTTTGTCCCACGAGTCCCTCCTGCTTCTACAGCAGTTGCGTCCCCAGGTAAGGGCCAGCTGGGGTGAATGTCTGTGGGATATTGGGTGACAGAGCCCTGGGAAGCATGCCAGGCAGGTTGGGGGAACACTGGGTACTCTCTGAGCAGGAACCAGTACCAGGAAAGGGCTCAGGTTCCAGCCAGTGACAGGTGATCCAGTGCCTGGGCTGGGGAAACTGCCCAAGGAAGACTGATTTGCGCTGGACCTCACTGCAAATGTTGGTGCTACCAGAAAGGCTCCAGGCAGCTTCAAAGGGAGGTTGCAGAGATAATAATGGAGGTAGGATTCTCTATGGCTTGACAGTTTACAAAATATTTTCATCTCCAAGGTCTTAATTTCTCTCTTCTTTCACAGAACTCTCTGTTAAGGCTTCTAACGGTCAAGGAGCGGGAGCGAGCCCGAGCCACCTTCCTGGCCCGGGGCAGCGGGAGCACTATCAGCGAGGCCGAGTGCCACCGTGCCCAACACTCTTGGTTCTGCAAACGCCCCACCGAGGCTCCTTCCTGCAGTGTCAGGTCCACTCCCTACCAATCCCTGCCCCCACTCACCTACCCTCCTCCTCTGTCCTTTGGTATGAAAGGTACCTGCCTCCGTGTTTCTTCAGCCCTTTCGTCCAGTAGCCAGGAGAGGATCCTTCTGTGAATTAGATAGTGGCCAGTGACTCCTACTGGCCAAGGCATAGATCAGCCTTGACTCCAAACTCTCTCACTCATGTCAGAAAAGTCTGGACGTGCATATCCAGGGGTTCACCAGAGCTTTGGATTCACCAGAATATGGGAGGGGCAGACCTTTCATGGTCCCACTTCTAACCACATGTCTTTGTACCCAACAGTGTCAGCCATGTGGGTCCCATAGCAGACAGCAGCCCAGCCAGTAGCAGCACCAAGAGTCAGGACCAGGCCCCACTGCCCACAGAGCCTGAGTCCAGGTGAGTGACACCTCCTTACCTGGCTGTCTACACCCTGACCCCCACACACACAAGTAAGATTGGGCATTACCCACCATCACCCCAAAACAACAAATGCCCACCCCAGAAACCAGATTTGACCCCAGATCCATAGGGCTAGATCAAATCTAGCTATCAGCCTGGAAGCACAGTCTGCCGGCACCACTTCAGGCACAAGCCAGGACTTCCCTGATTTTTGCCCGGCTCAAGCCATGCTGCTGGGACCAGGTCTTCTGAGCCTCCAGACTCAGCAACCAGCCTCACAAATCTGTTCTTTGCTTCCACTCCAGATTTGTGGATTGGCCTACCTTCCTGCAGGAGAGTGTCATCTACATCTTGGCTGCTCGCCCCAACAGTTCGGCCATTCACCTGAAGCCCCCAGGATAGCATGGAGCAGAAAAGCTCAGTTTGGGGACAGTGGCATTCTCTCCCTCCTTTCATTTCTCCCTTTCCCCACTAACCTCTGGTCCTGAGACTTCTGGGGATGGAGCATTGTCCACATCTCAGTTTATCACTAAGCTTGGCGGCACTGAAGTCACCATTCCCCTCACAACAAGAGTGGTAAATGCACTGCCACATGGAGAAGCCCTGGGAGCTGTGGCAGCATCTGCTCCAGGACCACCCCTGCCCTCACACTGCAGCCTGGACCTGCCACTGCACACGTATGTGTGTGCACACACATGCACACACAAACACACACGCCTAGCTGTCCATGTCGTCAGAGACCTGATACTTCTTTTTTGTTGAAGAAAGACCAAAGTTCTTTTGTGAAGCCCCTGGTATAGATGGGTGGGTGAGGGGGGGGGGTGTCTGTTGGCAAGTTTTCATTTACAGTAGGTCAGTCTCTGGCCAAGTGAGTCTTAACAAGGGGGCACATCAGATTCACATACTCTGCTAGAGATGCTGCCAGACGCCCTCTTCCCACACTGAAAACCCCTTCTGTGCTGAACCTCTGTTCTACTAGGTGTGTGCTGTGTCCCTCAGGTGTGTTGGGGTGGGGGAAATTGTTGAAGACCACCACTGCACTTATTATTTATTTATTGTTTATTTAAACCCCAACTCCTGGTGACAGAGAAGGAGCTAGTCTGTGGAGTGCCAATTAGAAAAGGGGGAGGCAGCCCCTCCCAGGGACCCAGAAATCTAGGAACCTCTCATCCAGGTCATTTAAGTCCAAAAGTCTTTATTTAGCAGACCAGTCCAAACCCAAGGTGAGCCATCCTGACCCCTGTTTTTTAGGTGGGTGCTCATGGCCCAGGGCCCAAGGGCCAAATGGAACAGGTATGATGGCAGTTGGCAACCTTCTGGGTTAGGTGCTTCACCCAGGTCAGCTACCACAGAGACCCAAAGCCTGAGCTCCAGGGAGGGTAGGCCTGAATGAAAGAGGAGAGAAGGCTCATTTTTTTCCATTCTTTAGCTTAACTGCAGACATAGAAAAGTATGCCATGGTATGGCGTACAGAGCCCTAAACAGGGACTCCTTTCAAACCACATGACAATGAGGATAAGAGGCTGGAGCTAAGAAGATGATATGCATCTCAGCTGTCTTGAACAGAGAAAGTCTCAGCAAAGCCTCACAGAAGGAGGAGGTGTTCCCTTCTCCCTGTTACTAAGATATGGCCTGAGTTGCTGCTTTTCCCCGTTGCTCACCACATGTTCTTCCCCACAAGCTTAGGGCCTGGACCTGGCAAGGGAGGACTTTGGGGGCAAAAAGATGCTGCCACAAGGCCACCAGCCTGGCCTCTCAGCCCCAGCTGTTCTTCCTAAATTCTCATCAAGTTCTCCAGTCAGCATATACTGTGGGTAAGCACAGGCCCTAAAGTTCAAGCTTCTGTTTCCAACCTCATGACTTAGGTTTAGCAAGGTCTGACTTGGTACCAGGAGTTATTTGAGAGGGGCTGGGCTCAGTCACAAAGAAACTAACACATCCGCATTCCAGAAGACAAACAACTCAGGGTTGCTCAGAGGATGGGGGGAGCTGTAACTTGGGGCATGGCAAGAGCACTGTATGTTCTCCTCCTGTAGAGACAGCGTGACCTGAAAGTCAAGTAAGAAGCTTCTGGGGTTGGATTATTTAGGACTGAAAAGAAGCAGACAGAAGATGAACTGGGTTCATGTGTATGGCTCCGAACATTTCAAAACCCTCAGTTCTTTAATACTCCATAGCCACACTCCCAAGACTAACCAGTAGGAGGGGCCGTTATTCAGTCCAGCCAAAAAAAGAGAAAGCACATGACTCTTGGGCCCAAGGACTGCATCTGAAGCAGCCTGGCCTGGGGTTCTGCACTGAGAAGATTAAACCACATTAAGCACAAGGGCTCTTGCTTACTCTCCTAGCAAATCACCTTTTATGTCAATGACCTTGGGCTGCTTGATCTCAGGACAAGGCATTTTGAGTAAAAGCAAGCTCTAGGCTTTGAGAGCTGAACAGCTTTTTTCTCCTGCCTCATCATCAGTCACAAGGATTGGAAGTCCATCTTCTTGTTCCCTGATCCTTCACAGACCAAGGTGATGCCTACCTTTCTGGAGCAGCAGCTTCTAGCTTTCTGTGGGTGAGTGATAAAGACGGGAGGCCACTAGAGCAGCCCAACTGTATCTCAGGGCCTGGCAAAACAGGCCCCAGGGTTCTTCCACAGTAGGATTTGACCCATTTGAGACCACCCCTCCCTATTTTGGGACAGCAAGCTTCCTTGGTGGGGACATGCTGCAAAGGGCCCAGAGGAGACAATGCCCTCATCAAAAGATGGGGTGCCAAGTCACAGGAGTCCTGGGAAGCAGAAAAGGACAGAAAAGCAAGCAGTCTCTTCTCCATAGGCATCTAACTCTTTACCAAAGGGAAGAGGAGAGGTTCCATTGCTCCCTCAGTTAAGAGTTATAGAAGCTCTATCCCAACCCACCTTTCTGAGGTCTCCCCTTACAGTGTCCTAATCTACAGGGCCTCTCTCCAGGATGTATGGAGACATTCAAACTTTTATAAACCTCAGTTCAGTTCAGTTCAGTCACTCAGTCATGTCTGACTCTTTGCAACCCCATGAACCACAGCACACCAGGCCTCCCTGTCCATCACTGACTTCTGGAGTTCCACCCAAACCCAAACCTAGTGAAGCTCATTTCCTTTCCTTTTCAAGCCCTTTCATCATTGTGACTGTCTGAAATTCTGCCAAGTACAGAAATTAGTGTTTGACTGTAATAGGAGTACAAGAAAATGTTTCCATCTCAGCTACCCAAAATTGCAGAGATCAGTTCTTTTCCCAGTCACCCCCAACTGCACCACCACCCCCAAGTCAAGGGAGACTGAGGTTACACATATGCTCCTCTGAAGACTACTTGCCCTCAGTCTGTTTTTAACCCACAGTCCTCTTCTCCATGCTCAGGTATAAAGGCAGGGACGTCTGGATGATACAGTGGAGCTTTGGGACTGAGAGGCAGCTGAGGCAATAGCTGTGGCCACATAGCCTCCTCAGATTTGTTCCATGGCTTCCTCTCATGAGATCAGCCTTTCCTAGCAGATGGAGGCTCTATGCTTTTGAGCAACAGGCCCCTTTGATCCCAGGGATGGAGCAGTTTCCTCACTCATAGATACTGATCCCTTTCAAGAGCTCTTCCTTAGAGGATAGCCATGGCTGAAGCCATAGGCACATTGCCTCTTTTTGTCCTCAGCCTAAGTAACTGTGACTGCAGGCCAAACACTGGCCTTTCTGACCTTGGTGCTCCCTATGGGATGTCACCCTGGCCTTGTTAGAGTGACCAAATATGGGGGTCCCCCACTCCTATCAACAATATGGGAAGCACAGAATCAAACCACCTGGGAAGAGAGCACCTCCCTGGATGCTGGGTTCAGGATGGTGCCTAGGCTGCTGAGCCTCAAACCTCAACCACTGCAGGTCTCATGGCTTCAGTAAAAGTGGTGCCAAGAAGCCTAAAGGCAAGAGAGAAGCTCCAAAGAAGTGGTGTGGCAGGGCCCCAGGCCAGCCATGAATACCACAAAGCCAAGAGGAACCTCAAGGCAGGACTGGTAGCAGCTCTGGTGATCCTGCAGGTCCCATCAAATCAACAGAGTAAAGACAGAAACATACTTGGCATTTAAAAGGCAAAACACTACTGATGCCAGAATTTTAGGACATCCTGGCAGCACCTGTAACCAAACCCCTTTTTACCCCTCTGTTTACAGTGAAATAAAATAGTTGCTGTCTCCACACCACCGGGTTTCACCTTGCCCAGAATCTCTCTCAGGGCCCTTAGCTTTCAGCCCAGACAACAGAGGCCTCCTTGAGTGGGGGGTATTAATGTGTCATGCCTATTCTCGATGGTTCACCCTGGAGTGGGGTAGGACTAGGCATTTTCCCTGCTGTTGCTTTCTTGCTGCCACTGCTTTAGGCAACCTTGAAAGGAAAGAAAATGAACAGATTACAGAATCTCCAATAGACCCCACTAGCACTAAGGAAAAACTTTCTTCCCTCTGGGCCACATGCCCCAATGACTAAGATCAGAGAGGATGTCAGATCTGCTCAGGCCAGTGACTAGGAAGCCCAGTAACATTCTAGTTTGTGTAGCATGGGTTGGGATGACCACGAATAAGAACATCAAGATATAAGTAGCAAGGCCTTTCCATATCCATGGTGAAACAAAGGCCATCAAGCGTAGCCTCCTGTGAGAGATGGTCTCTGATTTATCTTCTGGCCGAACACAAACTTGTGAGAATGGCTCTGAGAACACTCAAGTAATAATGGAGGATCCAATGCTGTTCTCTGGAAGGTAACTTGACAGTAAGCTGAGGGGAACATCCCCAAGCCCTGTCTTCCCATCATTATAGCTGCATGCTCCTCCGCATGGCTCAGCCTTCACTCCAGAAGGAGGTAATGTTCCCAGAAGCTGGGCACAATGGAAATCATAATAAAAAGATTGTGATGTTATTTTGGCTTCTGTTTTCTGTTGTTCAGGGCACCTGCCAAGTTTCGGTTTGGTTTCCTATCATTGGCCAATTCCTGAATCTAAAACGAGGAGCTGTAGTCTCCAGGAAGCCCACAGCTAGGTTGCCAGGTGCAGGGGCGGGTGGGGAGGAGACAAGGGCTCCACCATGGACACAGAGGAGATGGGGGCACAGAAGAGAAAAGTCAAAGTTTTTGAAGAAATTGAGGAAGAGGTAAGCCCTCTGAGCCTCCCTGCTGTGTGTTGCCCCAAACACACACCACGGGCCAGTATTAGACATTCCCTTCCCAGTTTCTGCTGAACTACAGAGTGGGGACTACTAGTTGGCTGTTTTCTACTGGTCTGGGCTCTCCTTGGTCTGGAGTTTCCTCACCATCTTTGCTAATTGTTTTAATGTGATATGATAGATTGGATAAACTAAGATCTGGAAAAGCTTTCAAAGACTATGAAATCTTCAATTCATCCCTTTTGCCTGGTAAGAACAGAGTCAGTACCTGTAGATGTGAAAGCATCTCTAGACTTTGGATCAGAGGCAGATATTCTACTCTGAAACCATAGGAGCCCCAAACACAAATACAGCTAACCCTCCAGGGACCAGAGGCCATTAAATTGCATGGTCCAACTATATGCAGATTTTTTTTCAATAAATAGGTACAATAGTACCACACAGTCCTCAGTTGAATCTGCAGATGTGGAACCAGGGATATGTAGGCCCAATTATAAAGTTACAAGAGGATTTTTGTGGCAGGGGCATCAGCTCCCCTAATTCCCACATTGTTCAAGAATCAACTATAAATGCTAACATTTTAGCACTTCCTATGCACTGGGCAGTTCTAAGTGCTTTGCATAAGCTAATCTTCAAAACAACACTATGTGATTTGTATTACACATGAGAAAGTGAAAGTGAGGTTCCACAGTCACAAAGTTAGGAAGTAGGGGAGTCAGGCAGTCTGATTTCAGTTCCCATGTTCTTAATTTATTGTACTCCCTGTCAAAGTACACCTCAAAGAAAGTTGCTGTATGGTCCAGCACCTCCTGATTCCATCCCCAGGGAACAGGCATGCATAGGTAGCCAGGCAGGTAGCCCACATCAGAGGATTTCTTACCACCTGCACAACTCACCCCCTTCACTCACAGACTCCCACACCACTCCATCCTGGAATCTTCTCACAGAAGTCCATCAGGCTCAGACACAATAACAACCTACACATCCTTTCTCGTTTCCAGGCTCAGTGAAGCCAAGCATTGGGACAGAGAAAAAAGGCATGAAAGCTGGACCTCTATGAGCCCTCATGACAAGAAAGGTTTCCCCACTCTCATTCAGACAGTCTTGACTGGAACTTCGGACCCTCCCAGCTCTGTCCCTCATACCAACCGGCACTTGTTCCCAGGGTTGGCTGGAGCTTCGGTTCCACAAAAACTTCCACCCACTCTGACTTTCCCTAGAGATAAAGAGGAGTGCACTTGAGCCAGAGTAGAGCAGTGATCACTAAATTTGCTAAATATGGAGTAATTAGTGTTCTCTCTCCCACCCCACTCATAGGGTTGTTTATAGAGTTTGGCCTTTCTAAACTTCAGTTTCCTCATCTGTAAAAATCTGGAAAACAGTTCATTTTGTCTGCCTCCTAGGCTGATAGTTGAGTGAAGACAGGATAAAATTGGTAACTGAACAGAGCTTGGTACACTGTAAGGCACTGAGTGAGCAGCAAGTATTTCTGGCCCCTGAAGTCTGTGTGTGTATCAGTCAATACACACCCCCCTCCCCCGCATAGCTGGGTATACTTCCATTGGCCTCTGTCCACAGTGCTGAAGTCACAGCCAAGCCCGTTAGGAACTTTCAGTCCGTCTTTTTTTTTTTTTTTAATATACTCATTTATTCATATACACACCTACTTTACATTATTACATTTTAATACTCATAGAAAACAAAAAAATATAGAATGTTCCATGAATTTGCATGTCATCCTTGTGCAGAAGCCATGCTAATCACCTCTGTAACGTTCCAATTTTAGCATATGTGCTGCTAAAGTGAGCACTTAAGTCCCTCCTTGTCCCATCTAAGGAAGCATCAAATACAGAGAATACCAAGCCCAAGGATTGCCCTAAAACTGGAAGGTATTGCCAAAATGGTTTTTTATTTCATTACTTTCAAGTATCTTTTTTTTTAAATAAACAATAACATTCCTTTAAAATTATAATAGGTACAAAACAGGCAGGATGTGATTTAGCAGGTCAGGGAGAGCAGAGGATGCAGTCTTCACTTGGTGAAGATGTAACCTGAGGCTACATGGAAAGAGAGGGTCAGAGGAGGGGTGTGGGCTGGCTAGTATGCTGACTGGCACCCCAGGAAAAAGCTAACCACAGCCAGGGGAACATGGTCTTAGTAGCTGGAACTGAACAAGGCAGAGGAGGAACCCATGAAGGCCTGAGAGGTGTTCACCCTATCAAGGAGCAGATTTGAGGGATGCAGATGGCTGATGTCTGATAGATGGGACCAGTGAGGTTGATGTGACCTCAAGAACAGAGCTAAGATCAAAGGTGGAGGAGGGGCAGATTTCTGCTCAATAGGACCAAAAGACAACTGAATACCTGGGAAGGTAGTGAAGCTGTACATGCATATGACAGAAATATGATGTTGAGGGTGAAATGCCTTCCCAGGTCTCTAGTTCTCTTGAGGCCTGCGATGCCAGTAAGTGGTTAGGCACCTTCTACTGTAACCCCAGCCCTGAGGCCTGCTGAACTATAGGGAGATCCATGCTGTACAGACCCATACAAACCCAAAGCATCAGCACTGCTGAGCCGAAAGCCTTAATTTCTTTAGTTCAACCTCTTAGACCAACTGCTGTGCCTCCAGCTCTGATCCCTGACCTGAGAGAAGAGATCCAACATCATAATTCGCCTATTATCCCCTTTCCAGGTGGGCTCTGAAAAGCATGCCTTCAGAAGCTGATGTTGCATGCCCTCTGATGGTCATTCCCAGTACTGTTCTCTCACCCCAAAGCAAAAAAAAAAAACAAAACTCTTTGAACTTTTATGATACTAGTCATTGCAGGGCTTCCCAGGTGGCTCAGTGTCAAAGAATTCACCTGCTAAGCAGGAGATATGGGTTTAATCCTGGGTCGGGAAGATCCCCTTGAGAAGGAAGTAGCAACCCAGTCCCGTATTCTTGCTGGAGAATCCCAGGGACAGCAGAGCCCGGCGGGCTACACTCCATGGGGTCACAAAGAGCCAGACACAACTTAGCAACTAAAAAAAGATAACAACAACTAGTCAGTGTAGGTTCGGAAGAGGCAGGGAGACACTAGACAAGTACCTGGGAGTCAGATGACCGGTCAGTGTGCAAGTATCAGTGTCAAGATTAGGGCTCATCTGAAAAGATCTAGGAGGAGGCTTAGACTGAGGCTGGATGGGGGAGCTACCTAATCCAAGACTAAGACCAATATCAGTGTCTCAGGCTGAGGCCAAAGTTGGGGCTCATTGTGGGACTGAATTCTGGGCTAATGTGTCAGCATGAAGTGTGTATCCAGGTGATATGCAAAGAGTCTGACTACAGGAAGGAGTCAGTGGATAATGGGGTCAACATGGTATTCCTATACAAGGTGAAACATCAGATAAGTACCAGCCATTGGAGAACTTAAAAAGAGATATTGCCAGGGGAGAGGTACAAGCGATGGTAGACAGAATAAGGAAGGCACTAATTTCTAAGAGCCTCCCAACCTTAAAGACGGGAATAGCCAGGCTAGAAGAGCCCCTTTTCTCCTCAGAATGTGAATTTCAGTATTCCAGTTCCAGCTTCCTGTTGAAGCCCCCCACCAACCCTAGTACTGCCACATACAAATGATAGGAACAATTTTGGGACACAGAGAGGTCCAAGAAACAGTCCTGTCACTGCATAAAGCCGGCAGTGTGGGGGTAGTCTTCCTTTCCCCCAGGATTCTCTGTTTCTACTGGCAACAGTGCTGGCAGCCTCCCACACCCAGATCTTAGCAACCCTGGGAGCCCCTGGCAACTGCTGCCATGGTGACAAGACAGGGAACTGAGAACAGGCTGGGGGGAGCACTTCCTCTGGAGCCTTCAGGACATACGTGAGAGAGGTCTCCCGCTCCCATACACAGTCTGGGAGGGAACATGTGCTCCTGTCTAAACACCTCCTCACTGGCACCCACCCCCGCCCCTGCCCCAGGTTCCGGTTCCCTCAGGGTGAGGAAATGAGGGACATCTACGGTTGTGACGTCTCCAGAGGGAGAGAGGGTGAGAGGGGGTGTTTGGAACTGACAAGATCACAGATGCATGCATACAAAGGCAGACAGTGTCAGTGTATCAACAGCCATGAAGCCTTACTTCATCCACTTTTTGTCATGTAGACAGACACAGGCCTACACTTAATCACATATGTACAGTAACACAAAATCACATACCTACAATAAATAACACAGAATCAAGCACACACAAAAATAATTAAACAGATACACTTTCACTCATAAATCACATGATAAACACAACACTACAAATAATTTCCAGACTCCAACGTTTATAGATGAACTCGCATATCCAGATATCTGTGACCATATAGAATAAGTTAACTTTCTTGACCATTAACTGCAGGCCGAGCTGTCAGCACTACATGCGTCACCTTAATTAACCCTCACAACAATCCGATGCGGTACGGCTGTCTTCTATCTCCATTTTACAAAAGAGGACGTTGGGCGCTGGTACGGTAAGCAGCCTCACGAGGTCAACAGTCTGCCTTCAGAGCCTGCTTCCTCACACCCTCTGCCACACCCTGAGGCGCCCCTGGTTCCTCCCACACACACCTGATCCCCAGGACAACGGGACACAGGACAGCAACTGCAAACTCGGCGAACAACAGCATCTGTGCCACCGATAACTGAAGGCATAGCTCTGCCCCTCTGACGGTCTAAGCCTACACTTTAGCATTAGCTGGGACCAGGTAAAGGCCGGTGACTAAACTCTGCCTCCGTGT